TGACTAAAATTGCGTCTTGATACGAACTCTCGTCAAATTTTATTGGGGGGGAAGCTTTGCCTGAACTATTGCGCCTGCAGAACGAATGCAGCACTTCAAGCACAGATGTATTGCGTGTTGCATAGCCAACGCGTCGAGTAACTCATTTCAATCCGCTTTTTTAATAGGGATTTACGATAAACAAATTTATCATAAAATACATGACTTATTACGTAATAAAGAGGTAAAAGTTAATAAAAGGATGGCAGGGCAATCAAATAGGACACATAAATGAAAATTCGAAAATAAATAAGATTATGAGTAAATCATCTTCCGAGGGAAAAATAACATCGTTAAGAGAGTGATATATGTAAGAAGTAAATCAAAGAGAAACATCATCATGACGGGGAAGAAAATTAGAAAAGAGAAAATTTTACTCAGGAGAGAACAAAAATTCAGAAGGAAGGAACGTTTTCGATACGTGCTGCGACCTGGAAGCGTATTAAAGATAATAAGGCGGAGAATTTGCATGAGAATATCCAAATTAGTGTAGAGGATAAGTAATTTCCGCAGTACATTTGCGCAATGAAATAAATAAATTTTTCTCGTGTCATTTTGCTGATAGGCTCTTCGTTACTGCAAAGACGCCTGTTGACAAGTTTTGTTGTTCCATAACAACAAGAAGATAGTGCTTTTTATGACTTGAATTGGTAAACATGTCGCCGCAGAAAAATGGATTTCTTTTTTCTTTCCTATACTAATGAAGAAAAAGCATATTTGTGAGTTGCTGTAATTGGAACGTGAATACCGAGCGCAATCCTATGTGCTCTCGTCAATCCGTGTGTAGGGGCAGAGCGATGGTGATGAGATAAAAGCTGACAGAAAAAAATACTCAAAAAGTTTTCTACAAGTCTCCTTGCCTGTAAGGACGAAATGGGAAAAATCTGTGGGCTATATTAAGATGATCATGAAGGTGTAGACTTTTACTTCTAAAATGAATCCACCGACATATTAAAATAGTTCAGAAGCATATTGGCTGAGTGTGGGCGACAAAAAGAAAGCCGAATAGAGGAAAATAATAAAAGCATACTGTCAACCAATCTCCGGATTGAAACTACTGGAAGAAAATCCACAAGTGGAAAGCCAACGAGAGGACATTTTACAAAGGCGAAGAGAGCCACCAGGAGCCCTGCTTAGTTGCTTACTTTGATATTGAAAAAATGCCTCTACATGAGTAGTGTTTCTTTCCAGTTTTCAGATGACAGTGTCGTTAGTGATGTGTAAGCTTGAACGGATGATGTGTAAACACCTGCCAGATAGTGTTAAGCGGCATTTGTTTACACAACACTGATGGTGTAATACTGTCAATTTTTTTACACATCACTGACGACACTTGTCCCGTATCTGACAAGAAACACTGCCCAGGTAGAAACACCTTAATTCAGAAGGGAAAATAAAGAGCGAGATAAGAGAAGATGCTATAAGCGTGAGATGGGAGAGATGATGAAGGATGAAAGGAGCGCAGGCTTTCGGGGAGTCATGGATAGTTTCTTGGCATCTTTTCGACGTAACACGGCCACGCCAGTCCAGAACAGTCCCTCGCTGAAGGGGGAGCAATAGGGGAACG